TATATAATTCTTATTGTCACAATACACATGTAGTTTAATTAAATATATATTACTAATGAATATTTGTAGAATATTTCCTAAAAATGTGTAATTTGAAAAAGAATTTAATATAAATTGCTATTAATTTCAAAAAATCAGTCTATTATAAGGCAAGATTTATAAGAGACAAATCAGAATGTGAGTAGATCTATAGCTATGGTAATAAACAACTTAAAAAATGTAAATATATAATAATTTTTCTAAAATCGATTAAAAATTATGCTAGCAAATACTTCATTATTAAAATAACACTAATCAGATAATTTTTAGCAAAACTTTTTGGACAATTAGTATTTTTATAAAAAATAATGCCTTCATAAATATGTCAATCCTAAAATATTTCAGAATCATAGATTCATAAATACAAGCTAAATAAAGTGAAATTTTCAATAAAATCACACTAGGTCGTTATAAATCTCTTATTGTATAACATAAGTAAAATAAGTTATCTGAAGAGCATACAGATAATGTAACTTTAATTAAAATTATATCAAAAAAATCTTTATTCAACACAATAACTCTACCAGCTTATAGTAAAAGAAAAGAATTTATTATGGATATTGTAATTGAATTACATTTAAAATAAATATTGCCTCTATTAACAGAAAATGAGTTTCATTTTATCCTTAAAACTTATGATATCACCATTAAATAATTAAAAGTTACATAAAATAGTTAATCTCTTTGGAATTTCATCTTTGAATCTGTTAAAAGATCCTAATTAAATAAATTTATGAGGCATTATTTTTGATTATCGTAAATCTTCATTGGATCTCCTGAAAATTAAATGACAATTATTATAAGGTTAAGTGATGATACTCCTCTAGATCAAATCAAATAAATAGTATCCCAATCTTAAATTAATTTGATAGTTTGATCTAAATAGGCTATTTGAATTGATGAAATATAATTAAAATGATAGAAAGGCAATTATTCATAAAATGAAATAAGAAAGATTGATTGATAAAAGAAAATAGATTGTGATATTATGATTCAAAAGAGGTAAATAAAAAACTTAAGTATATTTACATTTTTTAAATATAAAAATATTATAAATAATTGATCTTTTTTGAGCAGATGTGGAATTATGCTTCTTCAAGTAAAATCATAGAACAAAAATAATAAGCTTACGTAATTTTATTACTATCTTACAGTCATATGATAGACATGTTAAAGTTGTGAATAAAGCTAAGGCTACAGTTGATAATGGGAGTCCATACAAACATCACTTTACATCAAGATTAACAAATAAATATTAGTAATGAATTTTAGTTATTTTTATATAACAACATTATACAGAAATAAATAGAAGTAATTCAGCATTACTCAGAAAGATGATGTATATCAACTCTCACTCAAGTAACCTCAATAAATAAAAGCTTGTAAAATCCTATAAGGAATTATCTCATGTTTTTAAAAATAACAAATAGTTGCACACTGAAAGAGACCGAGTGCAGGATGAAAACGAAGTAATAATTTTATGCAAATTTAAATTAGAAAATTGTTGCAAGACTCTAAGCAACTAAATCATATTATGAAAGAGATAGTTAGCTTATTAAAGCATAAAAGTATATAGCATGTCGAAATAATATATCATAAAATGCAAGTAATAAATATTGTAATTTCAGGACGAACTGCTTACTAAGATTTTTGTGATGAATCATATGGGTTAACAAAGATATCTCTATCCAAGCAATACTGATATGTATTTTAATTTAATTGTGTGTGTCCCTTTTATTATTTGTAATATAAATCTCAAAAAAAAATTAAATATTAATCAAGGTATTTAAATCTTTTAATATATTTATTCAATGGCTTCCTAAAATAAAGCACCTTAAACTCGTCAATTGACTAAACCTAAATGTATTTATCTTATTTTAAGCTACTAGTTGACAAACTCAGTGAAGTCAAACCAGGAATCCATGGATATAATACCTACGTCAAAGTAAGACTCAAATATCTAAAATTTTTAGATTGAAGAAATCAAGAAAGAACAAATCAAAAGATATGACGGATCTACTTTGGTTGTGGCTGAAGGTTTGGCCGGAGATGACACAGGAGTCATTAGATTCAGAGTTGTTGGAGAATATGCCAACTAACTTGAAAAGGGTAAATGTTATGCATGGAGAAACGGATTGTCTGAAGTCGTTTAAGAAAGACACAGACTTTCACTTGATTAATTTGGACGCATAACTCCTGAAAAAGTAAATTAAGCAATTTATATTTCAGGATGATTTAGTTGCTGTCAACTAAAATGGCAAGAAATATTCAGATATTGAATATGTGAGAAAGGATGCCAGACCAAACACAAACAGAAGAGACAACAGAGATAACAGAGATAACAGAGACAACAGAGACAATAGAGATAACAGAGATAACAGAGATAACAGAGACAACAGAGATAACAGAGATAACAGAGAAAATAGAGGACAAGGATAAAGAAGACCTTAAGGTAATAGAGGCAACAGAGGAGGAAATTAAAAGAGAGATTGAGTTAGTCAATGTATGGAACATAATAATATTTTAACACAATTATTCTCTTAGTTATTATCATTTCATATTTATGATGAAATAAAGTTAATAACTTCAGTATAAATAAATATTCTCAATTAGCAAAGGATCTTCTTCTAGAAAACTCTGATCTTGGATGTTAATGCTGAATTTTCTAAGTTTCAAATTTCTTCATTAAATAATAACAATTCAATTTCTCATAGTTATTTTCTTTATCCGCAATTAAATAAGCATCCTATTAGTGATTACTAAAATTCTACACACCTTTATTTAATTATTTTTGAGGTGTGTATTTTCTTAACTATGCTTTTGTCTCATGATTTCTATTTTCAATTACTTATTGCAAATAATCTAATTTATTCATCATAGAATTGATATTAAGTAAAATATCTTCGCACTATTAACTTGCTTTTAATTTTTTTTATTGATTTCTACTGGATGATAAGCTGTTTCGTACAGATTTTCTGTATCCACTACTTTCCTAAACATATAGCATATTTATTTTTAACGAAAATTAATAATAACAAAACTCATAAATATTTCATATTCAATGTAAATATCGATTTCTTAGCTTATAGATAAAATTATCAATATTGTTTATTACCTTGATTGTTGAATAGAAAATCTAGACAGTTTTAATTAAATATTTATTATTATAATAATGGGAAGTGTTTCATCAAATCCAAATGCTGACGAAACTGGTACTATCAGTAATCTTCCTATGCATCTTAGGAGGATGGAATTGAAATTTGATATTACCAAGGATGTCAATCCAAACCTTAAATAACTATTGCACTGTAATACTAAACTATTATTTTAGGGTCATTGATGGAAATAAGATAAGTATATGAACAATTTTAGAGAAGGTCAAATTCTCCTTTTATTGATAAAAATATTTTCTGTAAAATTGTACCTTTTAGCAGATCAAATGCTAGTTTCATCTTTGATCAATTTTGTGTAGGAAACAAAGTACTATCTATTTATGAATTCATATGTATTTTGACAATTACTGCCCACACTCAATATATTCATAAAGTTCATTGTATTTATTAGTTTCAACATATTTATTAGTCTTGTATATTGTTTTTGATCTAGATTGTAGTGGAAATATAAGTCTGAATGAATTACTGATTATATTTAAATCAATTATTTTAGGATATTGTAAGTTAACAGAAGCTGAATTACCATCTTATATCTAATTGGAGAAGTTTGCGAAATTGATGTTTCTCAAAAGTGATATTTAAGTAGATAATTCATTGGAACTTAGCGAGTAATATAATACATAATTTTAGAATAATAGAATGGCTAGATAATAATCCTACAGGTTTACAATTATTTTAAATGTATGAACCAAAATAAAAGGTTTAAGAACCATTTGAAGCCTTTCGTTCTTTTCGTGCTTATACAGAATAAGAGGCTGAAAATATGTTAGAAATGATAACTAGATCAAATAAGAATGAATATTATATGAAAAGCTTAAATGATTAGGTTGGCAAAAGAAATAAATTTAGCTATATGGCAAATACTAAGAGTTAATAATAATAATAATAGATTTATTCAATCTAGCAATAAAGAAATTAATCTTTACCCAAAATTTAACCATAAAAATAAGTAAATTTGGAAGAAGACTTAGAAGAGTTAAATATTTTAGAAAAAGCATTAGATTAACATTAAAAAAAATATGATTTATCAACAGAGAAACCTTCATAAAGTTTGCATCATCCTGCATAAAATCCTATTTCATTAGGTAAAAGAGTAAAAAGTTAAGGTAGGATAATGAAAAACATCATTATAACTAAAGGGTGTACTTTAACAAGAAATGAAATATTTAGAGTAAAAAATTATTTTGATTCACTATCTGATAATAATAAAGTTATTGGAGTAAAAGATTTTACAAAAGCATTCTAAAATAAACCTCATATGAAAAGAGTCACAGCTAGCTTATATAATTACTTAGATTCAAAATAAAAGGGATTTGTCACTTTTGATTAATTGATGTTAAAGCTATACCCTTCATTAACTAAAGTATAATTGGAAATAGTTAATAACTGGATTAAGTAGTATAACGAAGTATTTTCTAAAAGTTCAAAAGAGAGCATAGAATTGGAAGTTCTTAAAAACAATGATACTAAACAGATGAAAAGAAAAAGAGTATTACCAAAAAGTAGTATGATCAGAATTAAATAGATTTATGATTTAATTGATTAAGATAACAAAGGATGTAAATAGATATAGTTTAAAAAATAGATATCTCTTTGGAAGATCTCAAAAAGACTTTTACTTATGGATTTACGGGTAAGGAAGTTGAAGATCTATTTCGATTACATGATTTAGACAAAGACGGGAAATTAGGAATGGAAGATTTTATAAGAATAATACTTCCTCCAGACTATGTTATTGAAGACGAAGCAGAAGAATAATGATAAATATTAAAATTTCTTATTATATCATCATTCCTTTTGTTGTGACCTTTTAAATTATTATTACGAATAACTAGTAGCACATTAAAGAATAATCAACAATATTAAATAATAGACTAAAGATTATCCGTCAAGAAAGATAGCAACAAGATTTATAAACATAACTCCAAAATTTTGACAAAACAAATATAATCCAAAAATTGCCATATCTTCATTCCAAATATCTGAAATAATAACAGCCGAATTAAATTATCCTGAATTGTCGGTAAATCCTCTAGTTATTTAATTCTATATTATACATTAATAAGCCTAAAATTATATTGATATTGTAATTTTGTTGGAATGCACTAAGAATAGCAATTATATTCATGCATTAAAAAGCATTTCCATAAAAGATTGAATTTTGAATAATTCCAACAAAAGATCTAGATAAACCATTACAAACCCCGCTGAAAATTTAAGCTACTCCAACATATAGGAAGATTCTTGCTGTTTTCATATTCACTGTTATTTCATCTTCGTCAGGAAGAGAGGAGGAAATGAATTTATGAAAAATTCCAAACTCAAAACCTATTACTACACCAGTAGAAATAAATAAAGAAAATAAAAATTTCATTTCCTTCAATTAAAATTTCAATATGATCTATTTAAGTTATTCTTTGAATCCTATTTTTGCAAATTCTTCATTAACGTTTGCAATCTAAGCTTCAGATTTTCCAAAAGAATCATTTTGAATCATCTTTTAATCTGCCTCATAAATCTAAATCTTATCAGGTTGTTAAACAAAAATAAATAAAATAGATAATCCACATTCTAATAATCCACTATAAAAAAAGAAACTCTCTCTGCCAATATATTTTAATAATTAATCAGATGTTACACCATTCAGCAAATATGCACATCCTAGTAACATATAAGTTATTCCAAAATATAACTCTTTATTTTTCTCACTTGTACAATCACTTACATATGTATTTTAGAGAACAAAATATCCACCTAATCCAGCTCCTAAAAACACGCATCCTATGAGTGTTAGAGGAATCAACATTAATGGATTACATATTAAATCAACTACGTTGTCTCCATCACATCTTGATACATAAAAAGCAGGTATAAAGCAAGGCAACACTAAAACTGCTTGAAAGACAAATCCATATCTATATTTCATTTTAGTCAAATAAAGAGGAGCTAATATTAACATATTATGTTATAACAATACCAATCAGATTGAAAATTAGATTTACAGTGTATATGCAAATTAATCCTAGTTCACCTAAAGAAGGGTAGTTATTTTATTCAGCTATTTAGGGCAAAAGACTGGCTAAGGCTAAGCATTAAGATAAATGAAATGTTAGAACTAGATTCATATACAAGACTTTTCCTAAGTTTGTATACTTTTTCATAGCAAATTTTAATGACGAACTTTAAATATCAATTTTATTATAAAAACTCTTTATAAGTAAACAAATTATTTTTTTCTATTTTTTTCTATCATCTAATAATGCATCTTCTTTTCGATTACCTTTTAAAAAATCAATTATTATTATCTTAATTTCAACAATGGTCTTAAAAAGAACTACATTAAAGTCAAATCACAACCATAAAAAGATTTTAACAATTCTTTTCACAGACATCCATCAAATAAGAATCAATAATTTACTATTATAGAGAAATGGTTCATGCTTTTGCACTTGAAATGGAAAAAATTTTGTTTCGATAATTAAATTCCTAATTTAGATAATTGATGGCATCTATAATTTTTTTTTAATGTTAGCTCTTTTAGAACATTGATTTTCTGTTAAATTAATATAGCTGCTTTTAAATCTAATTTTTTTTTGATATTATACACTTCCAATCCCATTTAGTAATTTTAGAAAAATCTTCCTTTACTTGCTAGAACAATAATTAATAAAGTATCCAAAGTTTTAAAGAGAATTAAGATCTCAAATAACCCCAGCATTCAACTTCTGTTTTAAGTTTAGCTGCTTCCATTTAATTTTAAGCAAATTTAGCATAAAATATTAAAATTACTCAATTATTGTCTAATTTAACAGAATGTAAATGTAAATATGTAAAAGAAATATTATGATAATTCTGGATAGTGCTCTATTTAACCTAAAGGCTCTGGCAAATAAATTGATTAATAAAAATGGCCGAAGCGCTTTTATAGAAAATAGTAAAATATTAATTGCAGCATCTGAAAAATAAAAAATAGAAAAATTTAATTAACTTTTATTTCTGATGATGATGAAATTATTCGGGTCACCCAAGGAGTTGTCACCTTCGTTCCCCTAATCAGGTGTTAGCGTTCTACACCAAATAGAGTTGAGTGTTGACCATGACAATCAAGGAAGTCAGAAAGAAAGAAAGAGGGTAAGATTTAAGAACTAATACTAAGGTCACTCCTTACGAGACTCTGTCGAGGCTAGCTTTTGGGAGGAAGATGTGTGTTGACTAACTGGAACACTAAGGGTTTGGGGTTGGGTTTGGGTTTGGGT